CTCAGCCAACCTGTGATGTAGTCATCTCAGTATAGTTCAGCATCTTTCTTATTTTTATTTATTTTATTTTTAATTTATGGAATGAAACAAGCATTTTCATAAAATACCATAATTTTTTGAATGACTGGTAAGAAAAGAAAAAACAGAATATGCCCACTTGCAAATATAAGCAAAGTCCAACTTTTCAATACCCCATATTTGTCATGGGAGTTTTTGTGAAAACCTGGGAGCTTTTGGTTTAGCTATAAGTTCTGTAGCAAAGGGAGGGGGAAAGCTGTGAAAAGTAGGACTAGCATAGGGGTCTGGACCACAGTTGGAGAATTAGTCTGCCTTTGTGGTAGCCACCCCTGTCCAAAAAAATCTTACTTCATAATGATTAAAGTTTTTTTTTCCTTCATTTTGTTATACAATCTGAAAGTCTTCCACTTTGAAGAGGAATTAGGGAAAACAAGACTCCACTTTTAACAATATAAAGACCTTGAATAGGAGCAAAGAGGAGGGAGTTGATGGGACTATCAGTCTTTTATGTGTTAATATGAATTGGTTTACAGATTATTTTCTAGTCTAAAATCAGATGTTATGAGGTAGTGAGACTTGATTTGAGCAAAATAGAGTCAGATCATTTTGGAGTTTAACATACTTTTTGCTTTAGGGGGTAAGACAAGCTTGGAGGGGTCCTCAGGGCAGGTCATGAATCCTCCAAGTACTTGTGAAATTTAGCTAACTGAAAGGCGGAATTGAAAATTCAGTAACTCATAGAATCCCCAAAGGAAGTTTTTGTAAAACCTTTATTAGAAGCTGAGAACAAAGGTATGCTAAAAAAAAACAGGAGGTGATTTTTTAAAACTGCCCCATGGCTTACTGGCAAACCATAGCAGACATTACAGGCAAAACGGTATGTTTGCAAAGGAGGAATACTAGCTGAGATTAGGAATATGGCGGGTCAAGTACAAAGCAGAGGTCGGGCTTTGCCACACTGATTAAATGGTGCCCGAAGCAGGAGAATAAGGATGTTGGCAAGTTCCTGGGTGAAGCATGGCTTCAGGGACATTTAACCACCAGTGTCCAACCAACCATTCAAGGGGTCATGAATCTTGATGTTCTGGGCCAAACCTCAAGGATGTAATCAATTGTCAAAATCCAGGTCAAGGCCGAGGAGTCAGGAATCCAGGCAAGATATAACAAAGCTTAATGAGTTACCAAGTAAGGAGGTCAAGAGCAGACAAGCAAGCAAGTATCCAGGGAATCATGAGAGTTGAACAAGATGCTAACAGTGCAGGCACAGGGAGGAAGATGTGTCCTGTGAGCTTTTATGCTTCTGCTCCGGAAGGAGCGAGGGTCTGAATATGGACAGCCCAGAGCCCACGGGTTTTAGTGGGGAAGTGACAAAACTAGCTGATTGAGAGAAAATTGTGGCTGCAGCTGAATCTCACTCATGACTGGGGAGGAGGTTAATGAGCTGGCACTAAAGGAGGGTCCTGATTGGTGTGCCCCACCCCTTTCCCCTTCAGAATTTGAGAAACTCCTTTCATAGTTCCTAAAATACAGTAAGAGGTTTTTTAGAGACCTTAAAGGGAATCAATGTGATGGTTGCTATTAGCCAATTAGCAAGTACTTATTTAGTTCCTCCTATAAGGTCCTTGAGGGCAGAGACTGATTTTACCTTTCTGTCCTCATCTCTTAGCCCAGTGCCTGTCACATAGCTGTTACTCAGTTTTCCATTTGTCTGACTCTGACTCTTCATGACTCCATTTGGGGTTTTCTTGGCAAAGATGCTGGAGTGGTTTGCATTTCCTTCTCCAGCTCATTTGACAGATGAGGAAACTGAGGCAAAGTGGGTTAAGTGACTTGCCCAGGGTCACACAGCTAGTAAGTGTTTGAGGCCATATTTGAACTCAGGAAGATGAGTCTTTCTGATTCCAGGCCCAGCACTTTATCCACTGTGCCACCTAGTTGCTCCTAGCACATAATTAATGCTTCATAGATACTTGTTAACTAACTCTAAGGCCTCATGTTAGGTGTGTTGGGAAATACAAAGAAATATAAGGAGCCTTGGATTTGGAATAATAGCTTCATTGGAGCCTAGATTTAGACCTGGAAAGAACTTTAGAGGTCATCCACTCCAATCCCCTCATTTTATGGATGAAGGACTGAGGCCCAGAGATAGAAAGTGGCTTGCCCAAAATCACACGGGGAGAAGAACTGTAACCAGAGCCCAGGCCTTCTGCACCCACATGATAGATTCTTTCCACTGCCCCAGATGCCTCTCGTTACATGACCTGGATTTGATGTCCAACTCTGCTATCTACTGTCTCTGGGATTTAGGATAAGTATCTTTAGCATTTCGGGGCCTTGTCTTTCTCATGTCTAAAATGAGGGAGTTAGACTAAACAATCTCTAAAGGCTTGCCTTGCTGTAAATCTTGGGGTTCTATAAGTGATGAGATGAGTCCTAAAGCAAGGACCCTACGGTCCATTAGAAGAGGCAAGACAGGGGCAGCTAGGTGGCGCAGTGGACAGAGCACTGGCCCTGAAGTCAGGAGGACCTGAGTTCAAATCCGGCCTCAGACCAAACACTTGACACGTACTAGCTGTGTGACCTTGGGCAAGTCACTTAACCCTGATTGCCTCACCAAAAAAAAAAAAAAAAAAAAAAGAAGAGGCAAGACAAAGACACATGGAAAGGTAACTCGTCATACAGGGCAGCCTATGGTCCATGTTTAATAAGGCAATCAGTGCTCAGAGTTCCGGAGGAGAAGAGGACCACTGTGGCCTGGAGTAGTCAGTGTGGGCTTCATGAAGGAAGTAGCACTCAAGGAGTGTCTTGCTTGAATGATGGGGTAGGGTTTTAGCAAGTGGGAAGAGGACATTCCAGGCTGGATAATGGTATGAGCCCAGAAAGGTACAGTGGTGGAGATGTGCAAGTCATGTTTCTGGGGAATGGAAAGTAGGTCAGTTGGTCAGTCTGGTTGGGTCTCAACCAGAGATGTCTCCTGACCCAACTAGTAGCATGTTCTTGCTTTGGGCTTGATCCAGTTATTCAAGAATAGGGGAAAACTGCAATTTGGTTAGAAGTCTGCACTTCCTTGACATGGAGGAAAGAAAATGTTGCCCTCTTTGCAAACACAATCCCTGTCATACTCCCCATTTGCCATGGCTCCTAAAGGTCATTATTAGAGATTATATGAATGAGTAGTGGGAGATAAGGGTGGAAAATTAGGTCTAGATTGCCGAGAGACTTGGCAAAAGTCAGACAAAAAATAGTGCTTTGTCCTGTAGGTGATAGAGAACCGTTGATGATTTATGAGTAAGGGAATGTTATTGTCAGAGCCATCTTTTAGAAAGACAATTCTGGCAAAGATGCATAGAATGGTTTGGAGGGGAAATGGACTATAGGCCATGGGAGCAATGAGGAGCTACCTCAATAGCTATAATGCAGTGAAAAAGAAAGGATGAATGTAATAGATGTTTCACAGGAAGAATCAACTGGGTTTGGTGACTAATTAGATATGGGGAGGTGTCAGAGAATGATAATACTACTGACAAAAAAATAGGAAACCTAGGGGAAAAAATCTCTTGGTGGGGTGAGGGTAGAGAATGATAATGACAGTTTAGGCCTGTTGAAGTTAAGTTGACATCAGCAGGATATCCACATGGATGTGTCTAGTAGGCAGTTGGAAATGAGGGACTCATCTGAAGACAGAGGACAACACAAGATAAAATCTGGGAGTCAGCCACAGAGAGGTAGTACCTGTATCCATGTAAGAGACTATAGAGAGAAGAGAATAGCCACTTATGGTGCATAGTAAGGGAAGGGGAATAATCTGATCATTTGCACAGACACTTTGGTGAGAGTGTTTACTTCTTCCCCTCCCCCTGTATCTTTTCTCTTTCACTATCTCCCTTTTTCTTCCTCCTTCCCCAAATCTCTCCCTCTATTTCCCACAAACTTCTCACCTACTCTCTGCCTCTCCCTTACAAGTTCCTCTTTCTCTCTTCCTCACCTTGTCCTAAATGCCCCTTCCTCTCCCTCTCTTTATCTTAGATATCTTTATTCCTTCGTTGTCCGTAATATGGAACTGAAGGGTTTGAAAAAGTATTTGTTATGCTTATTACAATTTCATATTTCTGGTATTTTTCTTTAAGGTAGATGAATTGTGACTTTATACAGGATGTCTCAAAAGTCTAAGATTTTTGAGACGCCTTGTATATTTCTCTCAAATTGAATACCCTGCCCCAAAATCCCAAATAAGTAGCGAAGTTGATTTTTATTTAGACATGGCTCTTGGTGGTTCCTCTTCTTTGTTTTTTTTTTTTGCTTGTGGGGCTGTAATCCTACATTCCCCTCCCCCCAAAAGGGTTCCCTACCTCTATTGAAAGAGTGTTTGTAATTATAAAAAAATTATAATTATAAAACCACATTTCTTCCTATTTCCACATTAGCAAATCTAGGAGTAGTAGCGAATGACTGCCTAAGTACAGAATACCGTAATTTCATTCAGTTTCACCTCTGCTGAGCTTCAAAGCAGCATTGGACCATTCTAGATCTGGCCAAGGAATTGGGGTTCTCCTGAATGACTCTTCACCTATTTGTGCAAGTGTCCTGATCAAGGTGGCCTTGAGTCTTGCCTTGTAGCATTCTCTAATTGACCTTGTTAAATGTTCCAGAACACATCAGTCTGTCTTTGCCATGGAGGCAGAGAGGAGTGGCAGGGTAGATAGCTCCAGGTTGTGTTTCCTGACCCAACTAGTAGCACATTCTTGCTTTGGGCTTGATCCAGTTACTCAAGAATAGGGGATAAGAGCAACTTGGCTAAAAATCTGCCCTTCCCTAACAGGAAGGAAGGAAAATGTTGCCCTCTTTGCAAACATGATTCCTTTCATACTCCCCATTTGTCTTGGCTCTTAAAGATCATTATTAGAGATTGTTTAACAGAAAAAATGACTTGGCTGTTGTTTTTTTTTGTTAAAATGTTGACCTCTCTTTTTGTACATTTACAGACTGCAAGAGTCAGCCCCACTCCAGAGACAGCTGCTGAGCGTTCTGCCTAGTAAGTTGAAGATCCGCTGCATGTTTTTGTTTCTGGAATGTAAAAAGTGGGGAAAGGTGGGAGTCCACCCAAGGGACATTTGTCTGTTCATTGGCTAGGATGCTTGCTCATAACTGGCTAAACCAATCCCTTTACCATCTATTATGGTTTATTGTTCTATGGTGGTAGAGAGTCAGTATTCTATACTGGATAGAGTGTTGGACTTGGAGTCAGGAAGGTCTGGGTCCTGCCTCTGACACTCACTAGCTGTGTGACCATGGGCAAGTCATTTAGACTTCCTGAGTCTTAAACACATTCTTAAGATTTATCTGTACTTACTGGTTGATCTACTAAGTTATGAATGGGTTGCTATCTGAACTGGTGAAGGGAACTGTAATGCTGCTGAAATTCAAAATACATGGTATGGTATTACCCTATGCCTTTCTAATAGTAATAATAATTATATATATATATGTAATATGTATATACTTGTACGCATATACATATATGTGTGTGTACATATGTAAATGTTTTCTAACATTGTGATGATTTTTAAAAGAAGATATTGCTTTAATATACTTTCATCCACCTCAATTTCTTAATCTTTTAAATGCTAGTTGACAGCATAGGTTAGTGAAAAGAGCCCAGGGTCATATCTCACTCCAAGACAAGTTACTCCCTGTATCTAGGTCTTGTAAAATGGTAAAATGAGAGGGTTGGAATAGATAATTTCTAAGAGATCTCCTAGCTCTGTGTTTCTCAGAAGCATCTTTGAGCTCTGCCATATGCTGTATGAACTTGAGGACATCCCTCTCAAGACCTCTGACCCTCTTGTTTCCTCATCTGAAAATGAAGGCTTAGAATAACACTGTCCCTAAAGTTCTTCCTAACTCTAACGTTCTAAGGTTCCATGCATTTGTTGCTTGTATCTTTGAATTTAGAATCATCTAGACAAAATCCCTCTAAGTGAGGGCTGCCAGGCTCCAGAGGAGTGTGGAACTGGTGAGGTTGTCAGAGAGCTGCTGTGGAGGGAAGCCTAGAGCGAGTAGGACTAATTCAGTTGAATGTGGATTTCCCGATGTAAACTGGGAACCAAGAAGTGAAGAGTCAGACCTCCATAGATGGGACACAGGATTTAGAATGCCTGCTTACCAGCTCTTTAATCATCTCCTAAATGGTTTCTTTGTCTCCAGCCTCCCACTCCTCCAATCCATCTCACCTCATACATCTTTCCCAAATAGAAATTGACCCTCTGTTCAGAATCCGTCTGTTGTTCCTCATGGTCAATTTGTTCTAAATTGTTCAGACTAGGTGATTTTCCCCTCTAAATTATCATACATAACTCCTAAGGTACCATTCTTCAATCAGTCAATAAACATTTATGCCTGACTATGTACCAAGTACTGTGTGCTAAGTACCAAAGATAAAAAGAAAAAGCAAAACCTACCCTGAAGGAGCTTGCATTCTAACTAAGGGCCTGCAAGATAAATACAGAATAACAGGAAGGTCATCTCAGAAGGGAAGGCACCAGCAGCTGGGAAGACCAGGAAACTCTTCCTGCGCAAGGTTGGCATTTGAGCTGCATTTGAAGGAAGCCAGGGAAGCTGAGAGGCAGAGGTGAGGAAGAGAGCGCATTAGACGATCCTCTGTTCTACCCTATCTCATTCTTCCCATTGACTGCTGGGTTTGGATTCAGATGACCTAGGTTTGAATTCTGGTTCTGCCATTTATGGTCTGCATGACCTGGGACAAGTCAACTTACCGGTCCTCAGTTTCTTAACCTGTAAAATAAGGGGGTTGGACCAGATGGCTTCTGTGCTGCCCTCCAGCTCTGCAGCTGTGATTCAGTGATGCTGTGAGTCCAGAGCTCCCACACGTGGTCACAGATTGCTTCGCCTCCCACTTCATTGAGAAGACTGAGGCCGTGTGACAGGAGGTCCTTCTTCTTCTTGTATTCCTCACACCCACTCATGCCTCCTTTCCACCGACCACAGACTAAGAGCTCTTTCTACTCCTTGCTAAAGCTAATCCCTCTACCTCAGGGGTTCGTAACATGAGGGTCTGTGAACTTTTTTAAGAAACATTTTGATGACTGCATTTTAATATAAATGCCACCATCTTTAGTTCTTAGGAGGCGGAAGTCTGGCTCAACAGTAGATTTGCTCATCTTAGTCACTAGATGGCACTCAGGACCCTTTTTTGATCTGTTCAGTCATTTTTTTTTTTTTTTTTTTTCAGTCCTGTCTGACTCTTTCTGACCCCACTTGGGGTTTTCTGGGAAAAGCTACTGGAATGGTTTGCCATTTCCTTTTCTAGCTCGTTTTATAGATGAGAAAACTGAGACAAACAGGCTTAAGTGCCCGTGGCCACACAGCTAGTAAATGTCCGAGGCCAGATTTGAACTCAGGGAAATGAGTCTTCCTGACTTCAGTACCAGCACTCTGTGCACTGTGTCATCTAGCTGCCCCCCCTTTTTGATCTAGGAACTCTATAAAGCCTAGGTGCCCATGAGAACAAATGGTTTTTAACAGCCCTTGTCTAACAGGATTGAAAAAGGGAAAGCAACTCAGATAATGGACCTAGAACTGAGACACCTGAATCCTAGAGCTGCTCCTGGTGCTACCCATCTGAGCTCCTCATGGCCTTAGTCGCATCATCTGTAAAATGAGGAAAGTAACTTACACCCCTCAGGGCATGGATTGGGACTAAATCTCTTAGAGCAGTCCCTTCAGCTCTTAAGACCTACCTCCAAAGTGGTAGACTAGGATGAAATCAGCTGCTGTACTTGAAATTGTTTTGTAAAATGCTGGATAAGCATAAGGGTAGCTGGGTGGCCCAGTGGATAGGGTACCAGGCCTGGGGTCAGGAAGACTCAACTCCCTCAGTTCAAATCTGGCCTCAGATATTTGCTAGCTGTGTGACCCTGGGCAAGTCACTTCACCCTACTTACCTCACTTTCCTCATCTATAAAAGAAGCTGGAGAAGGAAATGGCAAACCACTCCAGTATCTCTGCCAAGAAAACCCCAAATGGGGTCACACAGAGTTAGACACAACTGAAAAATGACTCCACAACAGATAAGCATAAGTGATTGTTATTTAAAAGCAGAACAGGTAAACTAACTTGATAGCAAAATATTCATTATTACACTTCCTTCCTGCATTCCCCACCCACTCTTTCCTCTTTTCCTCTGGTCGTAGAGCAAGAGGCTGGCTCTTCCTTGGAGAGGAACATTCTTGTGTGGGGCTAGCACGGCAGCCTAACCTTAGAACCAAGAAGACCTGAATCTTTGCACTGACACATACAGATCTCTGTGATCACAAATGAGATAAGATTCATAAAGTACTTTACATAGTGCTGGCACATAGTAGGTACTTAATAAATACTTGTTCCCTTCCCCCTTCCTCTGTGACCATGGTCTCTTAACAGACTTTCTACGCCACCAAACAATTTTTTTCTAAGACTATAAATGACCTCAGAATTGTTGATTGGTATTGACAAGAGGAATTTTTACACCAAGAGTGCCCCCTGCTGATGAAGTCACAGATTTAGTTTAAAAAAAAAAAAAGATTTTCTTCAGTGTAATCTTCCCGACAAACAATTAGGCACTGAATTCATTTTTATAATAACGATATTCCTGGAATTATAACCTATAAATAAATGGAACTTACCTTCAAATGCCACCTCTCTCATGTAACTTTCCCTGCTGCTCCTAATTAGTGATAATCATTTTCCCCCTCCAACCTTACTTTTGTTTTAAACCCTTCTGACAAACTCCTCCTATGTTGCTGTTTTGAACGTGCAAGCTTGCCTCACATAACTTAAATTCTTTGTTGAACTAGAGTTCCAAGTTTCATTATTCAGTCAGTATCACTGCTTCCTAGCCACCAACTTTTATTTTAAGAAGCTAAGGTAGATTTTACTATTTTTCTTCACATTTGGTTTCTAAGTAAAACTAATACTCTAATACTAAAGACTGACATGTGCAATACATAGTCCAGGAACTGAGGAGGAGGTGTAGTACCTAAATAAGACATAAGATTTGCCTTCATAAAACTTATAGTCTAGTATGGGGATTCTTTTGGCATAGCCAAGTGGAACAGTAACTAGAGCACCAGGCCTAAAATCATAAGGACCTGTGTTCAAATCTGTTTTCAAACACTAGCTATGTGACCCTGGGCAAGTCACTTAACCCCATTTGCCTCAGTTTCCTCATCTGTCAAATGAGCCAGAGAAGGAAATGGCAAACCATTCCAATATCGCTGCCAAAAAACCCCAAAATGGGGTCATGAAGAGTTGGATGCAACTGAACAATACAACAACAGGGGCTCTTAATCTAGAATCCCTGAATTGTTCTTTAAAATGTTTTGATAACTATCAAAATATAATTGGTTTTTTTTATATTTGTATATATTTTACTTTAAGCATTTAAAAACTTTATTCTGAGAAGGGGTCCATGGACTTTATCAAACTGTCAAAGTGTTTCATGAAACAAAAAACATTTAAGAGCCCAGTTCTAGAAGGGGTATACGATATGTATGATATGATATGGCTTAATGAATCTGCATAGTGCATACCTATAAGAGATTCATAGAGTTGCGTGTGAGGTCCTGGAGGGAAAGGTCATTATTGATAAGGGACAAATGAAAGAAAGTTCTTTGGAAGAGGTAACATTTGAGTTGGATAGGGAGGAACCCAACAAAGAGTTGGGGAGTTTGGAGGGATTCAACACATAGAATGATAACAAGGGCTCACGTGGGACAATTGTAGTGGCAATAGAAGGGAAGGATGGATGCAAGAGATTTTGTGGAGATAAATCAACAGGACTGGATATTAAATCAGAAATTAGATGAAAGAGAAGGAAGAATAAAAGATAATAACAAGATTTCACCAATAGAATACTAGGTGAGCAGTCAATAGTTGGACATCTAATGGAAGTAGTAAAATCAGGAGGAAGAACAGGTTTAAAATGAAAGATGATAGAGGGGTAGCCAGGTGGTGCAGTAGATAGAGTACTGGCCCTGGAATCAGGAGAACCTGAGTTCAAATCTGGCCTCAGACACTTATTACCTGTGTGACCCTGGGCAAGTCACTTAACCCCAATTGCTGAGAGAGAGAGAGAGAGAGAGGAAAGATAAGATAAGTTTTGGATATATTAAGTTTGAAGTTACTGAAGTAACAGTCTTTTCAGAATCAAGTATTTAGGTATAATCAGTTAATCAATCTGTTAGAGCTAAACTCTTAAATGCAATACAGGAAGAAAAGATAAAGACCAAAAAAAGATACCGCATGCTATTATGGTTAACTCCAATCCAACTCATTTAGATAAACTACAATTTTTTTTAAATGAGTGTACAAAAAGAAAGACATTGTCTCAAGATAACCATCATTTAAAAAAAAAAGTCACCATTATTTCTTAGACTAATTCCTGATTATAAATGGCCAACTCTACTAGGAGACAGAAAGAACTGAGAAAGAGCCTCTGCCAATAAATAGAGTCAATCCTCAACATTCACAGGTTTAACTTTCGGCACTTCGAGCATTCCCATGATTTTGTTAGTAACTTCATTTTCACTTTTGTATCAGCAACCCTGCATATTCACAGCTATGCACAGTAGAGAAAAAAATGAGAAGTGTGATGCACAGAGCCACTGGTATCCCTCTAGGTACTTCATTGGTCTTATTCACACTACTGTTGCAAAGATTTCCTCATGCATTTATTGCATATTTTCATTGTTTGCTTTAAAACTCACATTTTGTCTTGCGATTGTGCCCCAATGTGTAATGCAAGTCCTTTGGGCTCTAAGCCCAAGCGTGCAAAATCAGGGATGGGGCTTAGTGAAAAAATAAAGGTGTTAAATAAACTTCATGCTACAATGACTGCAGCTGCTGTCAGCCTCTGTTGTCCACAAGTTTAGTGTTAACAAACTGACGACTTGTTATATCTGTAAATTAAAAAAAAGTATTTTGGTACTATAGATTTCATGTGTTATTAAAAGTGGATATTATCTGAATTCATTGGGTTTTTTTTGAGATGTTAGCACAAGTGATCACAGAATTCTAGGGAGTTACTAAAAATGTTTTACTTGTTAACCAATTTTATTTTGTGTGCTTCATTTTATGGGTTATTTCATGGTTACTGTGTTGGAAAACTGCTTATTATCAGAATTAATGCTTCATTATAAAGAATTGCATGCAGAAAAGTATATTTTCAACAATCTCTAGCAAAAGATTACAGTTTATGGTGGTTGTGGGAACCTAACCCCCTACTTCCTACAGGTTCAATGTATCAACATTTGCGTTTTTAACTTTTACATCATTTTCTAGGATTGTTGCCCCTGCAAAAGTTGAGGATTGGTTTGTATCTGGTCCCCTTCTCAAGTGGAAAGACAACATAGCCAAAGTACCACATAAGTGTAGAGTCTAAACTCATTACCAGGAAAGATGGTGGGTGTTTATTAGCAATAGTGCTTCATGAAACAGCAAAATAAAAGTAACGAAAGAAAATGAGCTGTTAGAGAACTTGCCATGAGATCCAGCTAGACACAGGAAGCCACAAAAAGACCTGAAATGGAACAGATCTGCCAACTTTTCTAGAGTGAGCTCTTCTCATCAGTCAAAAATGTAGAGATAACATATTTGAATCCCACTACCTCAGTATCTGCTGTACTATGCAAGGAAATAAAGTTGCATGTAAGAAGCTATATTTGGGAAAAGCGACTGGACCTGGCCAGATGTGTACAGAAGAAATCAATGTTGGAGGCAACATAATTTTTTTTTTTTGGTGGTGAGGCAATTGGGGTTAAGTGACTTGCCCAGGTTGACACAGTTAGTAAGTGTTAAGTGTCTGAGGTCAGATCTGAACTCAGGTCCTCCTGACTCCAAAGCTGGTGCTTTATCCACTGCACCCTCAGCTGCCCTGAGGCAACATCATTTTAAAGGGTCTCAGGGATTAATTTTTTAAGGTTTCTCCTGAAGGAAAAGTTTCCAAAAGGAATGAAAAATATCACAAGAATCACCAATCAGTCTATGCCTGGCTGGGATGGTTTAAAATGTCTAAGTATTTGGTAGTGGATATTCGAAAATAAGTTCCTTAAAAGCATGCATTTTGGCAAGTTTCTCTCCTTGCCTCGTCCACAGTACCTAGCACTGTGATTTGCACACGGTAGGAACTTAAATGCTTTAGCACATAGTAGGAACTTAGATAAACTTTAGCTACTCATGGGGCCACCTTCCCTATGAAAAGAATCTATTGGTACTTCTAAATTAAAATGATTATTTTATCTGACAAACATTTCCTATTCTTGTATGAAATTTTATAGAACAGATAGATATGTGTTTATTCTTTAACTGGTAACATGCCTTCGTTTCCTCTCTTAATTTCTTTTAAAGCTGATACTCAATCTGACTTTTTAAAAACTATAATATTCTATATCTGACTTTTTAAAAATTACAATCTTTATAGCTCATATTCACCCAATATCCATGCAGTGAAGAAAGAGTCAGAGATGGCTCCAGGGGATTCCATTGGTTTGGAGAATGAAAGACAGATTTACAAAAGTGTTTTGGAAGGCGGAGACATTCCTCTCCAGGGATTAAGTGGTCTCAAGCGGCCCTCTAGCACTGCTTCCACTAAAGGTAATGGGATGAGGATGGTCAGAGTTTGTTTCTCCTGCACACAGATAATGGAAATGACAGTTGTGGTTGATCCTCAAGCAGTCGGGGGAAGTTCTGACTGGTCCAGATGCGCATCCGAGCCTTTTGAGACCTCTTGTGTCATGTTCCCTGATATCTTTCTGATGGCAGCAGTTTTTCTTTCTCAGTCCCCTAGCTTTGCCATTCTCTCTTTAAAAAAAAAAATCAAACCTCTCTCTCTGAAACCAGCTGAGTGTCCTTTTCCCCAGAAACACTTAGTGGGAGTGGGGTGGGGGGGGGATGGTTTTTCTTTTAGTTACCCCATTTGCACCTGCTTTGCGGCTCAGTGATTTTTACGTTGCTTTCTGACACCAAGTGAAAGAGATGCATTGATAAAAAATGAGCATGTGACCTCTCCTTTCTTCCCCGCTTCCAGCTTTAACCTAATGGGTTGTGTTTATTTTATTCTGCATGCTTACCAGTGGATCGTAAAGGTGGGAATGCTCACATGATTTCCTCTTCTTCAGTTCATAGCAGAACCTTTCATGCTAGTGATGTGTTAGGGCCTCTGTGTAAACATAAGAAGCCCCTGTCAGCAGCGAAAGCCTGCATTTCTGAGATCCTCCCTTCCAAATTCAAACCCAGGCTGTCAGCTCCAAGTGCTCTCTTGCAGGAAAAGAAGAGTGTCCTGTTGCCCCCGGAGAAGGCTCAAAGCTATGAAAACCTTTGTAGCTCCCCAGCTTCGGAGGATCCCAAAAGAACACTCCCCTTGCAAGGAGGAGGAAGCATTGAAAACCTTCTTATGCGGGTGAAGCGAGATTATGGCACCAAGTCTGGGAGCACCCAGAGCCTCCAGGATTACGGGGCCAGCGCCAGGAAGTATTGCCCCCTCTCCAGGAAGGGGGGAAGCGAATTCACGATGCTTTACAAAAATATGCACCACATTAACCGAACTGGGCTCCACCTGGGCTCCATCTCCTCCTCCAGCGTCCGGGACCTGGCATCCCATTTTGAATCCAGCAACCTGGCAGAGGCTAGGGGAGAGCTCCACCTCAGCCAGGAGAGCTCCGAGCACATTCCGAAACACACGGTCTCCTCACGGGTCACAGCATTTGAGCAGCTGATCCAGCGGTCCCGCTCCATGCCGTCCCTGGACTTATCAGGTCGACTGAGCAAGTCTCCTGTGCCACTGCTGTCCCACAGTGGTCTGAGTGCGGCCCGCTCTGCCGAATCCCTCCTAGAATCTCCCAAGCTGCACCACAGGGAGAAGGAAATCGCAGAGCACCCCACAGTGGCCTATACTTTGCCCTCCTGTAGCAATATGGAAGAGCCAGCTTTGAATCTTAGGGCCCTTCTACCCGCTGACCCTCCCTCAGCCTGCTTGGAGGAACTTGACCATCTTTCCACCATCTCCAGTGACAGTCGGGAGGGTAGCACCAGCGGCGTGCACGGTGATTCTCAGAAACATCGGCATAACAAATGCAAGGGTAGCTGTCCAGCATCTTACACCCGCTTCACCACCATCCGGAAGCATGAGCAGCAGCAGGCCTCCAGGAGCCCTGGCTGGAGAGTGGACGGGGGAGGGGACAAGAACATTGTCCTTAGAAACATCTACCTCATGGGCCCCCTGCCTTTCAGGTTGAAAAAGCCCCTCCAGTACCATGCCCGAAAGCCTCCACACAGTGACTCTTCTGGCCCAGCGATGCGGCAGAGAGCAGAATCCCAAACACATCCTCTTGGGAATGAACTCAGCCCCAAAGGGGAAGGGAAGCCCTCCGTTCCCAAGCGCCAGTCATCACTCTGTGTCCTGGAAAGGCTTAGCCAGGTCCCAGAACCCTCTCCAAAAAGAGCTGTGAGGCCAGAAGACTATCTGGGCACCCTTAAACCCAGCAGCTTGGGCCCGTGTTTAGGTCCCAGCTTGGATAGGAACAACAACCCGCAAAATGACCTTGGAACACCCCCCCGAGGTGGCTTTTTGTCTCCTTTACCAGTGTGACCTCATCCGTCTTTCTCATTTTGCTTGCCTTGAACCCCTCCTTCCTTGTCCCTTGATGCTTGTCTCCTGGTCTGTCAGTTATCACCTCTGTGTGTTGCTTGGCGTTTAATCATGGCTAATAGTGGCTGCCCCTTTTGAAAAAAACGAAACAAAACAAAAAAAAAAACAAAAACAAAAAAAAGAAAATGCATCTATTATCCATAGAATCATCACCAAGCCCTACACTGAAAGAAAAATTGGCCCCTTAGATTGCATGAGGACCCTTAACGGGGGAATTCTGGAGATTCCTGTTCTTTGCCTCTGTTCAAACCCATTTGAATAAGGAGCAGCCTGTCGTGTTGGCCCATGTGTGTGAATGTATACTTTGTCCCAATAAGACCATATAGGTCTTATTGGCGGGGATGCTCGTGAAAGGAGATGCTCTGTTTTTATCTCCTTTCTCAATTCACTGGTTTCCTCTATTCTCAAATGACTCCACAAGTGGATCCCAAAAAGAGTGGGAGGGAAAAGTGGAGGGAAGGAGGGGAAGCCTAGTATTCAATCAGTTTGATATTTGATCTTTCCAACATTTTGATGTTTTACCTTCCCAATATTCAATCAGTCTGATATTCATGAAAATGCCTTAAAACGTCTACTGTGGGAGAGTGTGTGGATTGCCAGGAACGTGTGCCCCCTCCTGGGTTTTTGGGAAACAAACTCTGTGTTTTAACTCTGTCTGCTATGTTGTTTTGAAGATTCAGAATCGCCTCGGCACTTCACCCCAGCGGAATACTTGGAAACTACTGAAGATTTTATTCGGAGGCGTCATGATGACAAAGAGGTTAGTCCTGTCTCAAAGTCTCAAGTATTTGGCAGATTCTGTGTCAGCCTATCTTTGTCTACAAAAGTAATTTCATTTCAAAGTGCAGATGGGGATTTCAATGTTGTCACTTAGCCCTACCTCAAAGCCTTATATGTAACTTAGGGCAAATTACTTCCCCTCTCCAAAAAGTGGAAATATTAAGATGACTATTCACAGCTGTGACATAATAGAAAATATTGGCATTCGGTCCTAAATGCAGATCTAGGGTATAAAAAATTGAGAATAAGAATTCTTTTCGGGCTCCCTTTCTCATGGTTCCCCATCCCCCTTGGAGAAGGTGAGGGGAACACTCTAGGTATAATCCATTTCTTTGTCTTTCCGCACTTCTGTATTTAGAGGGCTGGCTTATAAAAGCAGAAGAAGCAATAATAACAATAACGGTCTGTGTAAAAACTAACTTGGGAAGATAACCTGTAACCCAGCAGAGAAGACATGCATAGATTACAGAAAACTTAAGTAAGAGAGGGGGAAAAAGAGATGCCTGGTACTTTTCACTTTGGCCCACCTAAGAATTTGTAAATAACGTTACCGCTGAGAATGGGGTAAAGGGTTTTGGAAAGCAAATGATTGCTGAGTGGTTCATAGTGGTGAGTCAGCATAAGATGACTGGTAAAATTACTTCGACTGTCTAATAAAGGAGAAATTATTGGGTGAGAGGTAAAGGTGATCTCATCTGTGCTTTCCACCAGTCAGATGGTATGCTGCTGGGATTGTTCCGGGTTTTACTTGCCATTCATTGTAACAACATGGCGAAAATGATGTGCCAGCAGTTGACCCACAAATATGATGAAAGGATTTTCATGAAACTACAAGTACACACTTAAGAATGTGTTGAGAGTAATGCCTGACCTCCCTGGGCCTCAGTATCCTTATCTGTAAATTAGGAGGTGAGAAGTAGTGTGGTTTACTTTAGTGAACAGAGAGACAGCCTTGGTGCCAAGAACACCTGGGTTCAAAATCTGCCTATGACACATACTAGCCACATGTCTTTGGGCAAATCATATAAACTCTCAGAGCCTCAAGCAGCAATCTTAAGGCCAAGTAGCAGATGAGGACATGACCTGAATTGGAAGAACTGGGTGATTTCTTAGGTCTCTTCCAGTCTTCAAAAGTGCTGGGATAGTTCCACAATAACAAATTGGATATTTTGCCTTTTTGATAAATCGGTGAATAGAAGACAAGCAGACTGATTGAGCTACCTTAGCAAGAGTGTCAGAAAATTTGACACACAAAAACCAAGCACATAATGTTCAGGAACATGGGGGAAAAACCAGTTCGTTCAGTCATTAAGACTCTTGTTAATTAGATGTCTCACAGGAACAGGGGTTTTTACTTTGGTGAAAGTGTAATTGAAAGTGCTTCTACGCTCCCACGGTCATGAATTACACGGGACCTTCAAGGAATTTTGCTGTAATAGAACTTTGTTTTAATGAGTATGCCACTGAAAGTCACAGTCTTGATATGAAAGCCTGCTATTGACACCTGAAGTAAAAGAATTGCTTTTAATCCAGTAGGATAAATAGGTAGATTCATATGTACATATAATTCCTATCCCTTTCTTCTTTCAAAAGATCCAAAACTTTTTAAAAAATAATGTTTTATTTTGATGGGTGGTTTGCAAATTTGGGTGTGATGTTCTTAAAGGGCAAAGTACGTGTGAATTTTGGGCAGGGAATAAGAAATGTAAAGAATTCAATTACAACTTGGTTCTCTTCTTCCTTTTTCCAGGCACAATACAAAAGATTCATGATAAAGGACTTATAATGTGTTATATCTACATGAACAGAGACCATGAAAATGTATCTGTTGTGTAGTGTGACCTGCATTAGAGAACTTGTAGTAACCTGATTAGCAAATCGATGTTAAAATGGACCATCCACGGGGCACAGAATAATAAGAATGACAATAGTCAGTGAGTTGGTTAATGAACAGTTATTAAACACCTACTATGTGCCAGGCACTTTGCTAACCTGGGGGTATAAAGAAAGGAAAGAGACAGTCCCTGCTCTTAAGAAGCTTATCATCTAGTGAGAGCCGACCTTTATAATTAGCCTTACAGTTAACAAAATGCTTATCTTAGTTGGTCCTCACAACAATTCTGTGAGGCATAGTCAGTGCAAGTATTATTAACCCCATTTTACAGATGAGGAAACTGAATTTCAGAAAAGTTATATGATGTACCCCAAGGGCCAGGTCATGCAGTTATCAATAAATCTATCATTTAACAAGGATTATTAAGTACCTGCTATATGCCAGGCTCTGTGCTAGGTGCTAGGGATGAATTACAAAGGATGAAGTAAGCCCTGCCCACAAGGAGCTTATATTCTAATACCTGGGGGAGGGGGGAAGAACTGGGCCTGTAAACTTTATCTTCTGAGTTCAGATCCAATGTTCCTTCTGTTACAGAACAATAGCTTTATTTCTCTTGAACCTTGTTTACTGTAACCAAGATTTCATCTCTGTCATCAAATTTTGGTTTCAGAGCATTAAAATATGAGAGCAACAGGGCCTGTACAGTTAGAACAAATTAAATCTCATCCTGTCTAAGTGGTGGTGATATGGTTAGGTCCTGATTAGTGCAAATAGTGAATCCCATGAAGTGGTCCCTTTTATAATTATGAAAAATATGATAATCGGCTCCAGCCCAATGGGAATATGCAGTGTCAGTTTGAATACTACAGCCACTTCTGGAGGGGCATTCATTGGGACCAGCTCTGATGCTATCTGATACTGAGATCAGTCTTTCTCTAGTGCTGCCTCATGGCAATGAGATAACCCTGGACTTTCAAAGACTACACCAGTGGAGACCAAATATCCCTGTCCTCTGAGGACCAACCTAACTCAAGCTAGAGAGTATTGTTAATCACTAGGTCAACTGCTGGGTGATGAATTTTTTCAGCCACAAAAATTCTCAAAGAACATCTACTAAGACCTTGAAGGGTTGCAATCTATATCGAGGGAGAAAGTCCCCACGCCCATGAAATCAAAGACTCTTGAAGTAGTGAAGTGTTGGGATGAGTTATTCAGTAGGTGACATCTTGCTTGCCATATGGCAGGCTCCAGATTTGACTTCTGACTGATGTCATAGGGCTTGCTTTGACAAAGGAAAAGAAAGTATTAAAAGTGATATAGACAATATTGGCATGGCCTCTGTACAACCATTACATGATGGTGTCATGTTTTAGCCTTTGACTAGTTGGTTGCCTGGGTAAACACGGTGCTTACAAGACCAAGGTTAATAGTTTTATCCATCTGTGGGCTGGTCACTGTTGCTCTGTTGTTATGTGACCTCAGATCATAGGGCTCAGATAAGCCCTAGTTAGCCATATTAACTGATGGTAATGAGTATGAAGGTATAAACCCATTCCTACTTCTGGAAAAATAACTCAAAACTCAAGTTCTGTTGATGGTGGGTCAGGAATGCTACCTGTGATAAACAAAAGCAATATTGTTGTTAATTGCACTTGTAAAATATTTTATCTCATTTGGACCACTTTCATATTTCCCTTATTTTGTCTCTAGATCAGTGGTGTCAAACGCAAATAGAAACAGGGGCCATCAAACAATACAAAAGGATCCCTGTGGGCTGCATGTTGACTTAGAAAACTACAAATCAACATTATCTATGTTCTATTATATTTTTCATTTAGTTTAAATATTTATTTTATTTGAATAATATTTATTTTAATAATTTTAATTTAGAAAAATTTGAAAATAATCATTTTAATAATATTTATTTTAAATATTTCATTTATTTAGAATATTTCCCAATTACATTTTAGTATGGGTCCAGTTGCAGTCAGGAATGTTGTAGGCTGCTATGTGGCTTATGGGCTATGTGTTTGACACCGCTGGTCTTAATGGAGAGCAAAGCCTCTCAGCAATTTTGCTTTTGTTGGTATGATTTCATTTTGTTTTACAGTACAAATAAATTAGATTCCATTGAGTGATTAGCTTTATCAGGTTTTCTTCAAGACTAGTATTGATCAGCTAATTGTAATCTGCTATACTAGCGAGATAGATTTGCACAGCCTCTTTATCCTCAGTTGTTTTTGTTGGCAGTTTTCAAATTCCCAGGACCAGATGTTTCATTGTCCATTTTATGCAATTTCGTGGCAGAAACTTTTAGCGGACCAGAGACGGCTTAAGCGTGAACAAGAAGAAGCTGATATTGCAGCTAGACGACACACGGGTGTTATTCCAACCCACCATCAGTTTATCACTAATGAGCGGTTTGGGGACCTCCTAAATGTAGACGATACAGCAAAGAGGAAATCTGGGTTAGAGGTCTGTTGGAGTTACCTCTGTTTGCTGCTTGACCCAAAGCCATATTCGCCTCCCACCATGTTGCCCTATAGGCCAACATTAGTTCTTCAAGCAGCATCTTTCATACTGGCTTTATTTAGGCTTGCTTTGGCTCTCTTGTGGCTGGTCAATGGAAGCAATCTCTATGACATCGGGAGCTCTGTATGTTAAAGCATGCCTTGCTGAGATCTGCTGGTGCACCCTTCAATGCATGCTTTTAAGCATCAGCTATCTTTATGAGCCCAGTACTGCATCATATCGCTATGGTATTGTTTTGTCTGTGCATTCTGCTTAGAACCTGTATGTCTTGTTGATCCCAATGTGTAAATATCTTCTAGTTTGGCCATTCATAATTTGTGCCTTTGATCAGATGGTCCAGTGAAACTTGGGCAGGGCTATGCTACAGAAAATTATCTGAAGAATTCAAGAATTGCCCTGAATATTTGCTTGACTTTAAATTCCCCAACTGTAGAATTCACCAGAGTTGGGACAGGTCCAGAGAGTAGTTAACAACTCTGGAAAATGGTTTGCATAGTTGATTTATTCCTAAAATACCTAAAATTTTAAAGGCAATGAGATTTCATCCTTACAGAAGAGACAGTGAAGGAAGTGTCTTTAAGGTGATTTTCTGAAGATCTCATAGCCTTCCGAACACTAAGAGATTTAATTGTATGTATCATGTATCATGATTCTCAAGTAGCCCTGCCAAAGATGACTGGTTTTCACAAAATATATATGTGTATACATATGTGCGTGTATATATATATATATGTATGTATGTATATATGTTGATGGCAGAAGTGATTCTAAAAGTTTGATTTGGGGAAAAAAAGGATTTGGTGATCTTTCAAGGTGAGTTACTATGTCCATGTTGTTGATGACATCCTGTGAGGAGCAGATACATCACTGTGAAGATATGAAATAACATGGATGAAGGATAAGGAATTCCATGGAGGGAAGAAAGGATGTAAGGAGGAAGGAAATAAAGGGATAGAAGAAGTAGACATGATGGGAAGGGGAAGTTGAGGAGGGCACCAAGGAAGAGGACATCAAAGTGATGAGTGCAAAATGAAATGAAATGGAAGAGAAGAGAAGGAAGATGGCTGATGTAAAAAATGTGGCTGACTCACTAATGGGCCCATGCCTAGAGGCAGGAGAAGGGATAGCTACCATGCTACCTAGGTGCAGAAGAACCAGTTTTGGCCTTCAGTTTCTGAATGTCCTAGTGAGGGATTTTTAAAAATCTAGCTTTGTGATGTGAGGATGTTTCAATCTACAAGCCTATCCTAATGACAATATACATACATTCACATAACCAAAAAAGGTTTCCTGTAGGCTAGTCTTGAGCTAACTTTTCTACCCTCATTTATTTTCCCACTTGAATATCTCCTGCCCCTATTTTGGAGGAGGAAAGACTTAGCTCCTCATCTCAACACTAATTCCCCTCTGGTGGGTTTCTTAAGTTGGTCATAGCTGCAGGAGCTAGTCTGAGAGCTTGGATGGAGAAATTGACATGTGTATGAGCTTATTTAGTGAAGCCACTTTTAAAGACATATTAGCATTGGTCAGATTGGGGAGTGGACAGGTCTTACAGAGAGGGAAGCTTGTACAGGGAGCAGCAAATAGGTTTGCCTGGTTGAGAGATGACACTCCATAGAGAGTTAGGAGATCTGAATTTAGTTCTCGACTCTGCTGTTAATTCACTGTGTAACTTTGGGCAAGTTGCTTCATCTGTCTGGGCCTCAGTGTCCTCATTTGTAAAATAAAGGGGCTGGACCAGATGACTCTTGAGATCTCTTCCAGCTCTAATGTTCTGTGAGTCTAGAAATCAGAAAGTATAGTAAGAGATGAAGGCAGTTATGAGGAAGGGCCAGGTGTATTACTGAACGGCCTTAAACCCACAGTCAGGGGTTTGGATTTGAAATGTGAGCTAGGTGAGATTCCCTGAACAGTTCTAAGAAGACAAATAATTTGATTGAAATGTTTCTGTTCCTACATGTAGGATAGATTGAAATGAAAAAGGCAGGAGTCAGGTCTCAAAGGTTGTAATTGTGGAAATGCAGAGGGTCAGCTCTGAGATGCAGCATGGCAAAGTAGATAGAGCACTGGTTCCAGAATTGGGACACCTGACCCTGCCACTAATTCACTGTGTGACTACAGGCAAGCCATTTAACTCCCTTTGGCCTCCATTTTCTCATCTGTGAAACCAAGGGGTTCAATTAAAATGACTTCTAAAGGCCCTTCCAGCTCGGTATCTATGAACCTACCAAATTATGACAAGAGCCATTTTGGAGGAAGTGTTAGTATGACTGGATGACAAGACTGAATGAGCAAGGTACAGGCAAGAGAAAATGGAGGATCACCTCAAGATTATGTGTCTGAGGGATGTGACATTATTAACAGTGATGGGAGGGGAGGGAGATAATGAGTTCTGTTTTTGATAGAACTCAGTTTTCAGTTACAATGAAAGAGGTGCATGCAGATACATGTAGGATAAGACATGGAGACAGCCATGGTGCTTGGGTCCATGACCAGGGCCTTAATAAATGTTTGTTGAATAAAGCTAGGGAATCCTATAGTATAGACTACAAGAAATGCTCAAAAGAGACTGGAGATAAGGTCAAAGCTAGAGATAAAGTTGTGGGGGGAGGTCTTACCCACTTGTACATCATGGTGAAAGTCAGACAGTTTGAAGAGTGGCCCAATAAAGGTAATATTAAGAATGAAGAATAGTGGACCCAGGACTCCTGGGTAGCTTGGGTCTAGCTACATCAACTAGAAATAGTCAAGTCATAAATCTGCTTTCAGGTTACCAGGTTTATCTTTAAACTTTCATAATCTATTTTCTTCAAATATGGTATTCCCACTTGGAATGTATCATGCATGTACAAGATTGCTGACCACAGAAACAAGCATCTGCTCAGAAGGTCAGATGGCTGGAATGTTGCCCAGATTTCTGCTTTTTAAGGAAATAGCTAGGGTGCATTTTTTTTTCTGCTTTGCTTTCAGGAAAGTCACAAACATTTGGGCTTTTCTTCTCTTTAAGAAAACCACTGTTTTAATTTGTTATTGTCTCTTGTGTTTAGATGAGACCTGCCAGAGCCAAATTTGACTTTAAAGCTCAGACACTAAAGTAAGTTTAACTGGACGTGGCTGGTCAACTGTTCCATTTCCCTACTACAGGTAGCACATTCTCTGTAAGGCATACCTCCCCGCCCTGGGAAGAGGGTATGTTGGGTGACCTAATGGATTGGCTGGGCAAAACCAATTCAATCAGAAAAATCCTCCTAGAGCAATGTAGCCAAGAGAATATGGACTACATTTACAAGGGGTTGTATTCATATAACCACTATTGTGACTACTATTAACAATAAAAACAATAGTAGTAGTAGCAATTATTATTATAGATCAGTCCTATATACTGTTTTCTAGTTACAAAGCACTTTACCAAATCTTGCTCTTTTAACAATTCTGTAAAGTATATAGTGCAAATATTATCCTCATTTTACAGAGAAGAAAACAGGCTCAAAATTGGGAAATGACCCGCAGAGTTAGTAAGTATACAACCTGGGCTTTGAGTCTTGAACCCAGGTGTTCTGGCTTAAGTTTAGTACTTCTTCTAGAGTTTTGGAACACATGATCCTAAGATCTCTGCCATGAAGAGAACTGTGGAAAGATTGTCCTCAATCATTTTATTTCTAATGACAGATTCAGATTGAGCATAAGATTTGGGATGGTTGCTAAAGTTGAAATCCATACTTTTACTCTACCTAGCACTAATGCTAGCCCACATTTGGGGAATTGCAGGAAATCTTCCTAGAGCTATAACTTGCAATCTTGGCATTCAGAATAGTTCAGTTGGGAATGAGAGAACAGAGCAAGAAGACCATGGGGAAATTTGCCTGGGGTTCAGCCATGACAGGGGAGGAAGAGTGCCAACTGCTAGCTTCATATTTAATGATTCTTGTTAACTGTGTAAAAGTGTTGTCAAAGGCCTCCGAATTTCAGTGTCTTACAGCAAAACTCTGGTCTCCCCACCCTAGTTACTGCTCTGAGACATGGAGCCTCCCTGCCCTGCTCCCTTGTTAGACCCTAGAGAATGTTAAGTGCAATAGAAGGAGCCATGGTCCTGGCTCCCTCCAACACTTACTGAAGCCCCCATGTACTCACACTACTTGTGGCCTTAAATCCTAATAGGTCTGGTAGTGGGGGGGCTCACTTGTATTCTACTGTCAATGCTCTCTTTTCTTATCTACCAGTAGGAGAAAGAATTGATGGAAATGGGAAAGAAAACATATAAAGAATATAGACTTGCCTTTTCTCACTACCTGAATTACAAGGTAGCAGAAAAGGTATAGACCTAGGAGCTGGGAGAACTGCATAGTCCCATGTTTGCCATTAATAGTCTGTGCTTTTGAATAGTTTTCTCAATTTCCCTGAGCCTCAGTTTTCTCATTTTAAAAAAATGAGAGCATTGGCATATAATTTCTATAAGGTTCCTTCTGATGCTAAGGTTTTATGAAATTAGGTTTATAATTTTATTGCTAGTGAGGGTGGCCAAGACAAAAATGGCATAAATAAATATTTAAGCTTGATCAAGTATATGATTTTTTTCTTTGAATTGAAAAACTATGAACTCCATTAAGAGTTAACAGAATAATTATCTTGAATTTATATCACACTTCTAACTTCTGAGGTCTCTTCTGGGTCTAAAGCTATTATTTTTTTTTTAATTTTAAAATGCTTTCCTATTTAGGATAACCTTATGAGATATTTGTAATATACTTATCATCCTCATTTTGTAGAAGAGGAAACTGAGGCAGGGGGTAGTTAAGGCAGCATGGAACAGTAAGAAAAGAAAACGCTGAACTAAAAGTTAGGAGACTTCAATTCAAGCCTGGTTCTCTCACTCATCAACTGTGGGACCTTGGACAGGTCACCTACTTCAATGGGCCTGCATTTCAGCATTTGTGAAATGAAGAGGTTCGACTCACTGAATTCTAAGTTCCCACCCAGCTCTAAGTCTCTGATTTGCTGATCTACAAAATAATGAAATTGGACCAAATCAACCAAACAATCTACAAGCATTTATTAAGTACTCATTATGTGCCAGGCACTGTGCTAGGTATATATACAAAGATGAAGATAAATTCCCTGCCCTCAAGGAGCTTGTTTACATGTTGTCTTGCCCATTAGACTGTAAGCTCCTTGAGGGCAAGAATTGTCTTTTGCCTTTATTTGTATCTTCAGTGCTTGGCATAGTGCCTGGCATGTAGTAGATGCTTAATAAATCTTTATTGACTGATTGACTATATTCTATAGCCATTCTCTAATGTATGTTCCAGATATAACAATCTGTGAATCCATAAGTGACTTCCCAAAGGTCATAGAGCACATTCTTGGCTAGGCTAGGAACAGAGAAATCTCCTAACTCCTAAGCGAATTCTCTTTTCACTATACTGTACTACTTCTAACAGCATAAATATGACTACCAAACACAATATATTCTGCTTAAATATTAGATTCAGAGACTCCCTCATCCTCCTTTATGATATCTCTCCTACCCTTTGAGAGTTGAGGAAAATGTAACCCAGAGGAATTTAAAGGAGCTTTGCTCCATACAACTAATTAGTTAGGAATAGAACTTAGGATCTGCAGTTCCTAGTTCTCAGTTCTTACTTCCAGGTCCTTACAAGATTTGGGACTGATCACCATAGCCTAGAAGATGGTAGCTCCCAGTTACTAGTGACTCTCCTCTCCCTGGGCTGCTCTTCTGTCAGCCTTGGAGAGAGTGAAGAAACAAGCTATACAGATCTCAGAAACAATGATAATCCCCACCCCCAATCCCATAGCCTCTTCTTAAAGGGTCCCAAAAGAAAGTTTTAGTCATTAAGTTCATATGCTGCTGACAGATTTGTGGGGTACAGAGGAAAGCCCCAGGAATTGGGAGACGTGGGATCTAGTTCCAGCTCTGCTATTAATACTGTGTGAATTTAAGCAAATCATTTTGTCTCTCTGGGCCTCAACCTCATGCCCTGTCAGTTGAGGGGGCTGGACTTAATGATTAGCTCTAAATTCCTTCCAGCACTAACATTCTACCCTTCTGTGTATCCTAACATTAGGGAGCATCCAGAGAAATCAGATACAGTATACAAGTCATGAAATAGGTTGGAAGAACAATCTACAACCAAAAGTACTGGTCATTATTGACTATTTACTGGCTATGGAAACCTCTGAGAACCCAAATCATTTTCCCACTGCTGGTCTGTGAATGCATTAAGAGAGGAATCTTGACTTTTTTGGGGGGTAAAGAAAACCTGGGTTCGAATCCCACCTAAGACACTAAGTAGCTGTGTGACTCAGGACAAGAAATTAAGTAACCTCTCTGAGTTTCATATTTCCCTCTGTAAAGTAAGGATAATAGAACTTCCTTTATAAGGTTGTTGAGAGAACCAAATGGGATAATGTATATAAAGAGCTAAATAAATGTAAGCTGTTATGATAATCATCTTATACTGGACCCTTTGAAAACAGCAAAGAGTAGTGCTCATTCTATGCAATGGAGTTCTTCATGTGAAATTGGTACAGACCCTGTACTGTCATTTTACATTCTTACCAATATCCCCTCTATCTAATGTAATAATGCTTCTTCATTTTTGAATGTCACAAAACTCTTGCAGTAACTCCCTTATCGTGCTCTGTTGACAGAGAGCTTCCTCTGCAGAAAGGAGATATTGTTTACATCTATAAGCAAATTGATCAGAACTGGTATGAAGGAGAACATCATGGCCGTGTGGGGATCTTTCCACGGACGTACATAGAGGTATCTCCCCTCCCTCCCCTTTCTGAGATTAAATACTGCTCATTCTGAAAATACTCTTTCTTGCCAGACTGCATTGTGGATCTCCACTCCCTCCATCCTTCCTTATTTTCCCTGGTTTTTCTTTCCTTTCTTTCAGCTTCTTCCACCAGCAGAGAAGGCGCAACCCAAGAAGATGGCACCGATACAAGTTTTAGAATATGGAGATGCTGTGGCTAAGTTTAACTTCAATGGAGACACCCAAGTGGAGATGTCCTTCAGAAAGGTAAGACAGTCCTTCCCTCGAAGATACTTTGGGATCTCTTGGGTAGTGCTATCTCAGTGAGGAAACTGGCATCACACTTCTGGACCAGGCTATCCGAGACCTTTGGGGTTTCCTAAACACAATATAGTTGTATAGATTGAGTTATGGATGTTTCTCAAAGCTCAAGAAACCGCAACTAAACTCTAGCCTAGTGGCATGGCCATTATTTGCAAATTAATGTCATATTTCTGGAGCCTGAGAGTCTTAAATAGTCTTCTGTAAAGCTTATGTTTATTTGTAAACTCTCCTTTTTCAAGGAACCCAAATCTCCTTTTTAAAAATTGAGATCTTTTGTTTTTACAAATCCTTCATTTCCAAACATATTCCTTCTACCTTCCCTACCCAACAAACCATCCCTCATAACAAAGAAGGGGGGGAAGGGAAGCAGTTGAGCAGAATTATTCAACACATCAACCGAGTCTGACAGTATATGTAATGTTCCACATCCAAAGTCCCCCACCTCTGTAAATAATAATAACAAAAAAAAAGCTAGCATTTATATAATGCTTTACGTTTTTAAAGTGCTTCACATATTTGCTCATTTGGTCCACATGACAACCCTATGAGGTAGCTGCTATTATCATCATCCCCATTTTGCAGATGAAGAAACTGAGGCTGAAAGATTGCGTCATTTGCTTGGAGTCCCATAGCTAATAAGTATCTGAGGCAAGATTTGAATTTATGAGTTCCTGACTCCAAGTCCAGAGCTCTGTCCACTATACCACCTAGCTGCCCAAGAGAGGGAGCTGTATCTTCTCATTTAAATTCATACAGTGGAGCTAGTAAATTCCCTTTGGGGGGTAATTAAGACTAGTAGAGTTAGTTGGTAACATCGTCTCTTTGCTCTCATATAATGTTTAAAAAGATAGTCTTCCTGCCAAGTAGCCTTGGATTTGCGATCTACCCTCCCCTAATTGGTGACTATGTTTTGCTCTTCTCCAGAAGGGAGATGTCTGTCTGAGCCTGAGGAGGTAGCCCTGAATAGAGAGATGCCTATGGGAGGGGTCTTGCTGTGGACTGGTCAGTCCTAAAGGTCAATGGAGTTTTGAGACCAGAGCTATACTATTGTTTGTTCCCAGGGGGAGAGGATCACATTAATTCGACAGGTTGATGAGAACTGGTATGAAGGGCGAATCTGTGGTACCACTCGACAAGGCATCTTTCCCATTACATATGTGGATGTGATCAAGAGACCTCTGTTGAAAAACCCAGTTGATTACGTTGATCTGCCATTCTCTTCTCCAAATCGAAGTACGACTGCTTCTCCCCAGGTATCTACGTTTCCCCTGATCAATTTCTGTACTTTGTAGGACAAGTCTTCCACTGTGGTTCACACAGCTACCTTGGAGCCAATGCCTAAGTGCTGTAAGCAAGCTGGTCTGAAGCAATTCATAAGTGAACCATGGGTGTTTTTCGTTTCATTTTATGCATGGTTATTCTTTTTCCAGGCTCCTTCAAAAAACAGATGGTTTGCTTGTGAATGAGTATCTGTGATTAAGATTGCATAGCTAGGGGATAAGATAAGGCTTGGGAAGTTTTAAGGGGTCTGCAAGGGACAGATCAGATTGAAATCAGTGGACTGAGTCAGCTCAGCCCATTCTTTAATCCAGCTCTTTGACCCTTAGATATCCCATATAGAAGGAGCTCACGTTTCTAATCAATGTCACAGATACCACCCTCTAATGTGGTTTCTTTCCTTGTAGGCCTGAGTGAGTGTAGTATGAGGAGCAATGTTGGTGTAGAATTCTCTGATATGTACTGCAGGGATAATCTTTATCTAGAGGAATTTGGGGGACCTCTGCTTGGCCAGCCTTGCCTCTATGGAGGAGGAATTCAGTCTATGGGCATATCATGAGTCTGTCTTTACTGATCACACTAATTCAATCATTCACTTGAAATACAAACTATGCTATGCCAAACCCAAGACTTTGAGTCCCAAGAAGGCTAAGAGTCAGATTGAGAGTTAGTAAAATTAACCATAACCATAACTCATTGTCGTGAATTAGGTTATAATGTGCATGTTCAACAGGAGGAGAGAGGGGATTTTAAAGGAGGGTGGGGCAGGCAGAGTAGCAGAATTAACTGAGAAGAACATTCTCATTTCCTCATATGCTTGAAAAGGCTTCTCATTGCCCATGGGCTCACTGATAAGCTCAAGGGAATAACTCTGATAGGTCTTCATAGTGGGGCCCCCTGCCACTTCCTGCTTGGTTGGAAAGTCTTTTAAGAAGCTTTGTAATAATTCAGGCAATTCTGTTAGATTCCACTGTTGCATAAACCTCAGTGAGAAACTCTTAGAGGAAAAGATGATTATTCAAATGACCCTCTGGAAGACTCATTTAGGACTCCCTCTGTTAGGGGAGATCAAAATCCAATAACAAAGAATAATATTAACAATATTAATAATATCACACTTGTCTATGGTGCTTCAAGGTTTACAAGTCACTTTGCATACATTAACTCATTTGATCCTGGCAACCAACTTGTGAGGTGGGCTAAGCAAGTATTGTTATCCCCATTTTACCGATGAGAAAACTGAGTCTCAAAGAGGGCCCATAATGACATGGCCAGTAAATAGCAGAGCTATCTATAAAGCCCATGTTTTCTTAAATTCAGTGCCCTTTCCACTATACCTCTCTGCCCAAAGAATGCACTGAAACAAAGATGGCACTTCTGTGTGGATATGGAGGCTCAGGGGCAGAGTTTTGAGATATCCTTGAAAATAGTGACTTGAGAAAGATCAGGTACCTTAGAATTCAGATCCTTGATCTTAAAATTCTAGATTATTGGCCTGCGACAGTAAGGTAGAAAACCACTTAGTTATCCTAATCTCAGAGACTCATTTACAGAGGTGAATTTTGGGTGGGTGGGTCTGTGAGGAAATGAAAGGCTCTCACTCTGCTATTTGAAACTGTCTCCAAACTAGGGTGCTAGTATTAATGAGTTTTTACACTGGTGTTAAGAACATTTCCCTAAGCCCCGTGGTACTTCTCCCTATCATTCTAACACACCCCTAACACAAACATGTACACACAGAGACCTTGGTGGACATCTGCCATGGTATTTCCTTTCTGATTATGTACCCAGAGCAAGTACTGGAGTCCCTATGTCCAAATCCCATCCATCCTTGCTCCAAATAGTGTTTCCTTTTTGAACAATAGTGTATGTTCTGCTTGTCTTTTCATTTCATTTCTTTTTTGGTACTCTTGGAGGCTACTTAGGGTTTGTGTGTGTGTGTGTGTGTTCTAAAATCTGATACCTTTTTTCTTTTATTTTGCTTATTTCTTCCTCTCTTTCTCTTTCTCTTTTTGTTTCCTCTTAAGTTTCCAAGTCATGGCAAGTGCCACTCCCCAGCACCCCAATCTCTGCCTTGTTCACGTCAGGTATTGTCTCCTGAGATGCATGCCATCACCTCTGAGTGGATCTCCCTGACTGTAGGGGTTCCAGGCAGAAGTACTCCAGCTGTGACCCCACCATTGCCTCCTCTGCCAGAGACCTCTCCTTATAATACTGAATACTTTACTTCCTCAGCCTTGGCCAGTCCTACCCTTTCAGTAAGCCGTCCCCTTTCTAGTATCTCAGATCGCTCTAGCCCAAGCCTTTTGGTTTCTCCATCCCCCCCTAACGCTCACAGACCATCTTCTACCATTCACAATGTCAGTACTACTCTTCATTCAAATGAAGAAAATATTGTATCCTCACCATCCCCCAGTGTTAAATGGGATACCTACTCCCAGCCACTGCTGGGGAACTCCAATAGCATTATCTCTGAGCTTAGTGATGCCATTAGCAATCAAGCCAAGTTCCAACAGTGGCAAGAAGAAAACAGACAGTGTTCAAGGAAGCCTAATAAAGAGGCAGTTGAACACTGTCCCGATGGATCCAAGATCTCTAAGAAGAGCTGCTTGAAGCCATCAGATCTGGTCAAATGTATGAGCACAGAACAGAGACTTTGTGATAACACCCTTGGGGGAAGTCAATCCTGCCAACATCTTCTCAGCCCTATTCACAGAAATGAGGCTGGGCAAAGAGATACCAGTGCAAGGGCCAAGCACGCTGACCCGAAAGAGAATCAGAATGGTGTGAGACAGGTAGGCCAGCAGCATGGTTTTGTGTGGGTGTGGAAACCTGAGCTTACCCTTTGTTCACATGTGGCTGTCTTGCCTGTCCCCCAAATAAGGAAGTGTGGGGCATCCAATAAACTGATAGTAAGGATTTGATGAGTTCTTTGTATTGGGTGAAGAGGCCCATGCCAGGAATGGGAGTACCGTCCCCCAGCATGTTTAGATTTTAGGGCATGAGAGTGCTGTGAGTTGATGAGCACTTTATATTTTTGTCTCTGGTAAACATTCAGGAGATGGAACCTCACATGGTACCCATTAAGTATAACAGGAAAGGCCAGCAGGGAAACTTTCTCCCTCTGTGTGTGGCTGTGCATTTGTGCTATGAAGCAAAACATAAGAGGATGCCTTTCCAGATACAGCTCAGCCCTCTGGCTAATTAATGCAGCTGAAAACACTAATAATTTCTTTTAGTTTGAAACATACACACACACACACACACACACACACACACACACACACAAACACACTTTATTTATGGAGCTCCATAATATTTGATTGACATGTAAGTGGAAAGAGTGCTGGTTTTGGATTTAGGGGATCTGGGTTCAAGTCCTGCCTCTGCCTTTTCATACTTGTGTGACTGTGGACAAGTTGTTTGATTTCTTAGAGTCTCAGTATTTTGTTGTTCAGTCATTTCAGTCATGTCCAACTCTTCATGACCCCATTTGGGGTTTTCTTGGCAAAGATACTAGAGTGGTTTGCCATTCTCCAGCCCATTTTACAGATGAGGAACTGAGTTAAGGGTTAAGTGACTCATCCAGGGTCACATAGCTAGTCAGTGTCTGAGGCCAGATTTGAACTCAGGAAGATGAGTCTTCCTGATTCCAAGCCTAGCCCTCTATTCACTGTGCCACCTACCTGCCTAGAGCCTCTGTATGCTCAACTATAAAATAAGAGAATTGGACTCTATGCCCTCTACAACCCCTTACCAACCTTAAATCTATGTTTTGGTGAGATAGTTGTGTGAAATATATTTCCTTTGCTCAGTGTTTTTTTTTTTTTTTTATGAGGAAGAAGCAAACAGTTTCCTGTGCCAAGGGCTCCTGGTTCCCTGCCCCAGAGCACTGGACTTGGAATCGGGATAACCTGGTTTTGAGTCTTGCCTCAGACGTGTAATAGCTGTGTGATCTTGGGCAAGTCACTTAGCTGCTTGTTTTATTCATCTATGAAATGGGGATAATATTAATCCCCAGTTACCATTTAATCACATCAGCCCAACCACATTCTGAGGCAGCTCTGCTGGCTATATGCCTGGAGGTTTGGTCTGATGGGTCAGCTGCCCTGAGGGGCACCTCTTCTGGCCTGGAGAATCCTAGAGGAAATGAATGCCACTTCTTGACCCCTCATGAAGAACACCGTCCAGAGCCAATCAAACACTCTCTGGAGGAGGCCCCCAAGCCAATCCACTGGAGCCCTGATAAATTCCTGGGACAGGAAGTAGTCTTTCCAGGTCAAGATTAGGACTCATCATCATGGCAAAATATTAGGCCATGGTAAGCACAGACAGGTGGAGAAACCCAGGAATGGGTGTGAGGTGTTTTGCTTTAAGTGGATTTTGTTGTGTGCTTAATAAGTTGATCTGGGCATAGAAGATGCTTAGAACACACAGGAAATGACACTGGCTCTCTGGAAAGAGCCTGCTTCTAGCTAGCTTCCTATCTGGGTGTAAGAGATGCTTAGAACACACCAGAGGTTACACTGGTTCTCTGGAAAGAGCCTGCTCCTAGCTAGCTTCCTCCTCTGTCCTGCCAATTCCTGCTCTCATCAGGCCTCCACTGCCTAGAGCATGAGTTCTTAACTTTTGTGTGTGCATCGCGGATGCCTCTTACAGTCTGGTGAAAACTATGGACCTCTTCTCAGAGTAACACTTTGAAATGTATGAAATAAAATACATAGGACTACAAGGGAAACTAATTCTGTGGAAAGACAGATATCAAAATATTTTTTTTAAAAGTTCAGACTCCAGGTTAAGAACCTCTCTCTGGTCTAAAGGGGCCATGTCAGGGTGCCTTGGATCACCATTGGTTCTGATTTCAGAGCCATCCCTGAAAATAGACTTTTCTCTACTCACTTCCAAATTCAATTCAGTAAATTATTAAGCTCCTGCTATTAATCTATCAGCAACCATTAATTAAGCCCCTACTATG